TCACACGTTTTTGTCCTGGCTCAGGAAGGATGGCTCCAGAGCAAACTAATTCATGCGGCAGCCAGATCGCTCGCTCACAACTTTAATGCCAGTAGCTCACAAAGGAGAATTTTTGCTCACAAGACTCCACAGCTTAGAGGGAACATTGCTCCCCACCCCGGCCTGCCTGGGGGGAGGGCCTTGGCAAGGCTTCCTCGCACTTCCGCCGGCCTTGCAGGTCCACCGCCGGGCCCCTGATGTCAGGGGGTGTGGCATATGCTAATTTGTTATGCTAATGAGTTCCCCTAGCTCTTTTTCTACGAAATGACCCCTGGCCCCGCCTACTTCACAGGGTGTCTGTTGTGGGGAGTGGAAGGGAAGGGTATTGTAAGTCGCTCTGAGACTCCTTTGGGTAGTGAAGGGCGGGGTATAAATCCAGTCTCCTCCGCCTCTTCTTCTCCTTCTCCACTAAATCCCCATATTTTCTTCTGTTTTCATATATATCTATGGCATGCCTAGCAGTCACCTTGCAGAGATGCTGTGGAGTCAAGTTAGCTTACAGTGCTTTAAAAAACGAAAAGCGAAAAAGGCGTATGTACCTATCGCTAGGGAGAGCAGGAAATGATTCCTTATACATAACTGAGACTGTGAGTTCAAGGGGGTGGTGGCAAGGATCGTGGCCCTGGATCGTAAAAATGGAGAATGTTTTTTAATTGTATGTCTAAGATTAGCAACTTTGGACAATTGCTGCTCATTATAAATGTAGGCCTTACCTGTCCTCTGTTGGTCCCCCCCCCCCCGTTGGCATTGTTTTGCATGATTTTCATCGGCTTCCATTTTGACTGTATGATTTTTCTTCCACATCTGATCCCTGTAATACTGTTGGTATGCACAAACATATAAAGATGCTTTTGCAGTGATCCCTTCATTTCATTTATCTTCAGGGCTCTAGTCGGGGGGGAGCTCTCAGGTATGGAGCTCCGGAAGAGAACCTCTAGGGGGCGGGGCGGTCACGTGGTGAAGCCCCGCCCCTTCTTTACCCCGCCCTCTGCTTCGATCCTCATTCCGTTTGGGAATGAGGATGAAGCAGGAGGGTAAGTAGCCGGGCCTTCTGACACACTTCCGGTGATGTCAGGGGGTGTGGCCTTCTGTCACTTCCGGTGATGTCAGGGGGCGTGGCATATGCAAATAAGTTAGCTTGGAGTGAATCCTAGAGCATCATATGATGCAGTGGAAACACTTCCAGTTTTGCACCAGAAGAGATGTCTAGGCACTAGGATCCCCCCCCCCACATTGCTCTCAGGTACGGAGCTCCGGAAGAGACAACAGTGGGAGGGCTTCTAATGTCCTGGCCCCACTGGTGGACCTCCTGATGGCACCTGGTATTTCTGGCCACTGTGTGACACAGAGTGTTGGACTGGATGGGCCTTTGGCCTGATCCAACATTGGCGTCTCTTATGTTCTTATTTCCCCTGGCAATGTTATCATGACTTTAAGAATATTTAGGTGGAGGAGAAAGAAAGAAGTTACATTCTGTGTTGCCATAACCTTTGTGTTTTGAAATCAAGCTAGAACACAATGGAACTAATCTCTAACCTGGAGATCAAGGGTAATTTCAGGAGGACTCCAGGTTCCACCTTGAGGTTGGAAACAATACATGATGAGAGATCATAGGAAAAGCAGTTTAGAATCAAAATACAGCCCATAATTACTCAGTGCAACGTTGTATAGTCAATTATATTGTTTACCAAGCACATTCATACAAACATTTACATGCAAAGAGTATTAACAGATAAATGTTTTAAATAAATACTCGTGCAAAAGTTCAGTTCTAATTATTTCCTTATCTGTTTCTTCTCGTGTATGTTTAGTACAAGCATGGCAACTGTCAAGGCTTCCAACAAGCCAGCTAAAGATCCCCGTTTCTGTCCTTTCTCAAGGCAAACCTGGCAGTCACTGAAACATAACAAAACTTCTTAAAGTCCACAGAAGAGAAGAGAGAAACTCACCACTTTGAACACAATAACATACAACCAATCTTGTCAAATTTGTTTGTAGAATTCTATTATACAACTTCAGTCCATCTTGGGGTAAAGTTCTTTGCTGTAGCTTGCAATATCTCTATGTTGCCCTGTTCTTATCTACATATTTTAACTCTACTCCTCTCATTCATTACTTACAGGTGGTGACTTTGTCTCATCTCTTTACACTCAGTAATTATATCACGGCTGTATTTTGGTTCTTCTTAACTTATCCACCTTGAGGCTGGCAGCGATCTTGTTTTATTTATTTATTTAACATATGGATATCCCACCTTATTTTCTTGAACTCAAGGCAGCTAACAATGCAACAAGAAGCTGCAAGGATGTAAAAAATAAAAGTTCATTCAAAGATGTCAAAACACAGAGCTAAATCTGCTGAAACCGCTGAATTTCCTCCAAATACCCTCTCAAACTGTCTTGCATGTCTTCCTAAAATGTGGCCAAAAAAGGCACCTGCCATACTCACTCTGGTAGGCCATTGCAGAGAAGGGTTCGGCGTGTGTAGAGATGTGAAGGCCCGGAAAAAAAATGGAAAAATTCGGGAACAAAACGTTTCCCCCCCCGTTTTTTCCTTGAAGACTTTTTGTTTTTTCCCGAAAAATTGGAAAAATTGAAAAAAGAAAAGAAAAAAATTGATTATGGAACGTTTTATTTTAACATGATGAATTTAAGACCAGGTGTTCAAATATTTTCCAAATCATTTCTAATATAAACGTATCAGCAGGTCTAGAAACCCAGGAATTTCGGATATATATATGGTATCAGGTTGATGTAATTTCTGTGCACTGAGGACAAGCAAGTCCTAGGTTACAAACTGAACTCTCCAATGCAAGAACAAGATGCATTTCTTCCTTTAGGAGGTGCGATTGTCAGAAGAAAATAAAAAAGTTTCAGTTTTATTTTTGCATGTGGGTGGGTATTCTGTAATAATTGTTTGGATACACTATATTTTTAATATGCTAGCTGTGATAATTTCATGCCAAGTAAAAATGTCCATAGTCATATTTTATGTTCCTAAAGTAACAGAATGACTTTCAAACTAGAAAAGACAAAAGAAATGCTAATGTAGCATTTTTTTCAATTTTTCCAAAAATTTCCGTTTCCCCCCGAAAAAAACCAGGGAAAAACCGGGTTTTTTTCCCCAAGCTTCAAAATTTCCGGAAATTTTACATCTCTAGGCGTGTGTCCACACCGTTGTCAACTTCTCTGAACTTTCCATTGCAGGCATAGAAAAATTCAAGGGGCGCTACTTCCACAGCCGCGATTATAAGGACCCCAGTGAGTTCATGGGGAAAAGGGTTATTGTGGTTGGCACAGGGAATTCGGGAGTGGATATTGCTGTTGAGATCAGCCAAGTGGCCAACCAGGTAGGTACAAGTTAAGTTCTCAGCAAATAGCTATTTTGGCTGTTGTGGCTCTGCATCTGAGTGTTCTGCCCTATCTGTAGCAACAAGGTGGCATCCAGATCGCCTGTGTTCCAGTGTCTATTCTATCTGCCACTATGCATTTAGAGTTTCTTCTCACCTTAGGGAGACACCTTTGCACCAGCAAAATAGGGAGGGGAGGCTTTGTAGAACACACCCTTGTTGGTCACAGATAATTGAATTGTTATCTTAGACATGAACACTCCCAATTTGGGCAGAAGAAATGGTGTCGAGCATCACCATCGAAACCTGCTGAGTCACTTCAGTTTTCTGGCTCTCCAGTGCAGCCTCTTAGCACTTCATGACCGGATACTACAAGGCCACAGAGTTCTTTTACTGTTGAAAAGGTATTTCAGTGTCCTACTTAAGACGAAGGGGTTGTGTTAAAAGTTTCCAGCCTATCCGAAATTCCTGGGTTTCTAGACCTGCTGATACGTTTATCAGATTGTCGGTTCTTTGCAGAGGAGACTATAGCCCTGGTCAGGGTAGCTGGTCCCCAACTCCTGCTCTGAGTGGCAGCAGGAGAATAAAATAAATAAAATAAATGGAAGTCAGGCCGATGGCATGATGTCACTTATAGGGAAAGGCCTGAAGTGACACCAGTCCTCTTTAGGAGTCACCTGAAACTCTATGGTTCTAGTTCTCTCTCTCTCTCTCACCCACTACTCAATTATATATAAGGGAGAGATATCAACATACAATAAAAAATGATACAGTAACAACAAAAAGTAGAAGTTAACTTTCCAAACAGTATCTTGTTGACAAACAACATAATAACTATATTATAGCTGCATCAAACTTAATAGATAACTAACATCAAAACTAAAGGTTATACAATATCAGTAACCCGCAATTTAACCTAATGAAACATGTATGGTGGCAAGGCATTTGTCCAAGGATTACTTGGCCTGTGCATCATAAACCTGTTTTGTTCAGCTAGCAAAACCTTCCATTTCTTCATCGGGCTTTGAGTGCTTTCGATTAGAGTATGCTGGGCGGACCATTCAGCAATTTTGTCATCAATCAGGTATTCCCATAGTTTAGTGTACCAATGGTCTATAGAGGGTGGTTCTAGCTCTCTATGGTTCTAGCGTTCTGTGTTTCTGGGGTTCTCCAAAGTACTAGCTTCAGATACAACTTCTACAACTTCCTTAGCAAAGTTAGAATGATTCATGGGACATACACATCACAATGAGACTGTGAAAAAATAACGTCCCCCCACAGTTATATATCTGTCTCAGATTTGTAAGTGTCTGTTTTTAGCTTTTTAATATGTATACTAAGAGCTGCGGTGGCTCAAGTGGTTAGGATGCTGAACTGCAGGCTGTGGAAGGTCGGTAGTTCAGCAGTTCGAGACCCGAGTGCCGCATGACGGAGTGAGCTCCCGTCTCTAGTTCCAGCTCCTGCCAACCTAGCAGTTCGAAAGCAAGAAATTGCAAGTAGATAAATTGGGACCACTTCAGTGGGAAGGTAACAGGGTTCCGTGAGCCTTAGTGTTTAGTCATGCTGGAGACGTCTTCGGACAGCGCTGGCTCTTCGGCTTTGAAACGGAGATGAGCACCGCAACCCTAGAGTCGGATTCGACTGGCTTTCGAGCAAGGGAACCTTTACCTTTTAAGAGTGAATACAAGAGTTCTAATATGTGAAATTATAAAACAGCAGAGTATTGGTCAGAAAATATGACTGGGTATATGGTAGGGTTGCCAGATCCTGCCTGGCCACTGGCAGGTAATAAGAAGGGAAGGTTGCCAGATGCAATTTGGGAAACTCCTGAGGATTTGAGGATGGAGCCTGGAGAGGACAGGGACCTCAGTGGGGTACAATGTCATAGAGTCCACCCTCCATTTTCTTTGGGGGAACTGATCTCTGTAGTTTGGAGATGAGCTGTCAATCCCAGGGATCCCTAGGGCCCACTTTGAGGCTGACGTCCCTGGACAATAGGTAGCCTCAGGGCTATTTTTGGGCAGGAACGCACAGGAACGGAGTTCCAGCTGGCTCCCGAGTTGGCCACACCCATCAGGAACTCATTAGCATAATAGGCCACACCCAACAGCAGAAACTCATTAGGATTGGCTACATTAGGGGTGTGTGGCCTAACATGCAAAGGAGTTCCTGCTACAAAAAAAGCCCTGGGTTTTGACAACAAACAAGGTAAACAGAATAAGAAGGGAAAGGTGGGTGTGGCTGGATGGCCACACTTCTGGTAACATGGGGGTGTGGCCTAATGGGCTAATGAGCTGTGCTGTCAGGGGTGTGGCTGGATATGCTAATGAGTTTCTGATATTAGATGTGGCCTATTATGCTAATGAGTCCCTGCTGGGCTTTTTCTACAAAAAGAGCCCTGGTAGCCTTATAACCATTTAGGGAGATCCCTTTTAGAATCTGTGGAAAGAGCTACAGTTAATGAGCAACAGCTGGAGATTTGACAGTAGTAATGGCTGACAAGGGCTGAAGAACATAGAGTTATGACATCTAAGCGGTCATAGAAAGGCTTTACTGTTAAAAGATAGCATCAGGGAGATACTGTTAATAGTTTAGGGCAGTGATAGTCATCCAGGGGCTCAGGAGCCACGTGTGGCTCTTCGACAAGCATTACTTCCCAATGTGGCCCTCCGCCATGTTCCAGGAAAGTGGGCAAGGCCCTGGTCCATGTTGGCATAGTAATTAACACACCAATGGTGCACAACCTGATTAAAGAGTAGATAAAGGTGTATTTAGGAACTAACATACTTGAGAGGAAAGAGGAGAGAGAGAGACAGGTTCCTAAATACATGTCTAGCTGAGAGAGAGACTGAGTGTGACACTTCTGAAAAGAAGAGGGAAATTATCCTAAGAGTAGCAATCAGGAGACACTTAACAGGAGAGAGAAGGTGCTGACCTCACTACTCTATCTAATTGTCTTCTTGCTGCCCCCTTGAGGGACTTCTCTTCTTTGTACACCATACATTTTTTCCAATACCCCTTCTTGAGATCGAGTGTAAAAAGTAATTTCTTACGTAGCCTTTCAAACTTTTCTTGATAAAGTGGCTTGGTGAGTGCATCTGCAATCATTTCATCTGTAGGACAGTATTCCAACTCAACAAGCCCTTCTTCTTCCATGTTTCTTAGTAGATGATGCTTCTCATCCATGTGTTTAGTTCTGGAGTTGATCTTCTCTGTCTGTGCAGGTTTTATGAACCCTTGGTTTTCTTCAAAGAGTTGTACTGGTTTGGGTTCCTCTATCCCAAAGTATTGCACCCATTGCAGTATCCATTTAAGTTGTCTGCACATTTCTGCTGTGGATACATTCACAGCTTCAGTTGATGATACAGCCACAGTTTCTTGCTTCCTGTTGCTCCGGCTGACTGTTCCACCAACACAGGAGAATAGGTGTTCACTGGTTGACTTTCTGTCTGTAGTAAAGTTGTTTTATGTAAAGTTGTTTTATGGATTGATTGTTTTATTTATGTTGGTTTTATTAATGCTGTGAGCCGCCCTGAGCCACTTCAGCAGAAGAGCGGGATAAAAGTCGAATAAATAAATAAATAAATAGTATCTCCTGCCCAGTCTGCATCAATGTAACCCACCACTCTGGGATTGTCACTTGCTGGTCCCTTTTGCTTGGCAATTCCATCTTTCTGCATAACACACCCACAGCTGTTGTGATATCAGGACACGTCAATGTGCTTATATTCAGCAGTTCACCACTTCCTTGCTGGTTGAGGGAGTTCATTTCCATAGGAGTGGTTGCTGGCTTAGCTCCTTTCATATTCATGTAGTCCAGAAATTCTAGAATTTTCTGCTTTTGGCTGAGAAGATAGCTTCCATCTTCCTCTTGTTCTATTTCTATTCTAAGATAGTAGTTAATGTTTCCTAATTGTTTCACTTCTACTTCTTGATTCAGATGTTGAACTATTTTATCACAGTCCTCCTTGTCTTCATAGCATAAAATCAGGTCATCCACATAAGTCAAAATGTAAGTCAATTTGTTGACTCTGTATCTAGAGTATAGGCAATATTCTGGTTAGCCTTTCTCAGATCCTTCATTGGTTAGCACATGATGAAGTTTCTCAACATTCTTGAAAGGAAGATTGTTCTGAGTAGCTTTACTGAACCAAGAGACAACAAATGATTTGAGAATTTGGATATAGAATTGAGACTATGTGGGATCTGCTTCGCTGTTTCGTTGGTGGAACCGCAGGGAGTGCAGTGCGCAAGTGAAATATGGACATGAATTGATTATGGGACAGGTCTTAAAAATTTAAAACCTTGGGAAGTCTTTCAAGATGTTTGGCACAGGCACTTTACCTGTTCTATGCAATTGTAAAAAGGATGTTAACACAAATTATGAAATATTTGTAAGACTGTTTACACTAAATGTATTAATCATATCCTGGTTGTATGTAGTTTGATTGTTTCTCCCCAGAATGTGTCAGGTAGCTCTGCCTCAAGGAGCATATATCTGCACAGTTCAGTGAGAGAGCGATTTTTCCTTTCTGCTACACCATTCTGCTCTGGAGTACATAGAACTGGAAGCTGAGACTGTATTCCTCATTCAGTCAAACAATTCTTCATCTCATGTCCCATGTGTTCCCCTCCATTATCAGTGTGGATTGCTAGTAGCCTTTTTGAAATCTGTTACTGAGCATTGCCACATATGTTTTACATATGTACTTGACTGTTTTCTTTAATTGGTAGGTCACTGTGTATCTTAAGTAGTCATCAATGTGCTCGCTTCGGCAGCACATATACTAAAATTGGAACGATACAGAGAAGATTAGCATGGCCCCTGCGCAAGGATGACACGCAAATTCGTGAAGCGTTCCATATTTAAAAAAAAAGAGAGAGAGAGAAAAAAGTAGTCATCAATAAAAGTCAGCACATATTTATTCCCACTAGGAATTTGAGTTTGTGCCATGCTGCTTGTTAAAGCTAGGTCTCCTCCCCTTCGCTCTGACACAGTA